ACCCCAACCCCAACAGTATTGTGTCCATCAAGTGGGGCTACATAATCACATCTTACCCTGGATTCGAGTGAGAATTTGAAACGTCAGACCAATAAACTTCTTGTTCGAGCGACCGCATCTTCCTCTCCTTCTGAAGTGCTTCCTGGAGCTGGCTAAATCGCTTCTATCGGCGATGTTTGAAATTCTAGAAACAGCGAGCTTCAAGTGCAACTTCTGCTTATACACCAAAATCTTTCAACGGCCACAGACATAGCTAATAGTTTTGTGTAAATAAAATAGGGCTGAACTGATTAAAGTGGTAGTTGGCGGCTGCGAGCTCCCAGCCCTTTCAGGAACCAGAATGGGAATAGGATGAGTTCCAGAAGTACGAAAATGAGGTTAGGGAATTCCAGACAAATATGTGTTCTGTCTGAATCGTGACATTTCCACATTCACTAACGGTACGAGTATAAAAGAAAAATAAGTCCATTTTAAGGCTCAAAACACGTTTTCGGATAACCATTGTGGCTTAGTTTACTCCCGTAATCTAATGTCATAAACATTCAAGTCATAGAAAGTATCAATAAACACAAAGGTTACTGCGGACGAAGTTAGAATAAAGAAAGAAGTTGGCATTTTGGATAAGCTATCCGCGCATTCCTGCAAATATTATCTACGACAGAAATTCCCAGTTTTAATGTGAATGATATCGCGAAATGGATAACAACTGGAGGAGCGGTTATCCCTAGAGGGTTTTCTGGCATGCAGGGTTATAAATGTTCATCAAACACAAGTCTAATAGAAGCTTCAAGAGTAGATGCTAAATCAGGTTTCCAACAGTCAGGAAACACTGACTGATACCCGTAAAGACACAATGCTGTTGAGAAGAGCACATATCCAGCTGGTTTATAAGGAAAATCCGGTAAGATGATAGTTGGTAGCCGTGCCCACAGACTCCACAATGGTACCTACTGGCTCGATTTCAGTAGCTGTGATTGCGTTCTCATTATGCTTCTAAATTCACGCGCGCGCTGTATTTCCTGTATCAGATTCATTTTAGAGGTGCTATCTTGGGCAGATTTGCACCGGTAACGTTGACAATGAGGCTTTCCCTATATCAATTTTCATTAGAAGAGGTAGATGGCAGGCGTGCCCACAGAGTCCACAATTGTACCTACTGGCTTAATTTCAGTAGCTATTATTACGTTCTCATTATGCTTCCAAATTCACGCGCGCGCTGTATTACCTGTACCAGATTCATTGTGGAGGTACTATCCTGGGCGGATTGGCACCGGTAACGATGACAATGAGGCTTTCCCTACATCAACTTTCATAAAAAGAGGAAGCTTTTGCCTGCCTCATTCATTGTAGAGGTACTATCCTGGGCGGATTGGCACCGGTAACGATGACAATGAGGCTTTCCCTACATCAACTTTCATAAAAAGAGGAAGCTTTTGCCTGCCTCATTGATTGTAGAGGTACTATCTTGGACGGATTGGCACCGGTAACGATGGCAATGAGGCTTACCCTTTATCAACTTTCATTAGCAGAGGTAGCTTTCGACTGCCTCATTATCTGCGGATTTTCTCTTCCGCCAAAACCAATTTTTCGCATAAAAGTCTTACCCGGCTTGCTTTGTGGCGTCCCGCTTGCCGCTACTTGACTCTCGTGTTCATCTGTCCATTATAATGGATAGAGTTCTATCGCACACACTGCGGAATGGCCTTCGGACCAGTTGCATTCTTCCCATTGGTTGTTCGCCTTCACTTGCTTTTCTTTCCAATCTGAGGCTCGGATGCATTTATTCCGCACACCGTTAAAAGTCTCCTTGCTCATTTCCATACCTTCCTTGTATTTTTCACCTAAGCTATATTAGGCTTCCGATTTACCTGTAGCGTCCATTCTTAGCATATACTACAATCGCCATTTATCCGTCTACTCAATTGTCCCACGCGTATAGCCCCTATTACCACCGGTTCCGATTGGCAGGCAGCTGGGAGTTTGCGGTGTCAGGAGGGCTACCAAGTATCATCTAACCGAAAATCCCTTCAGCCAATAAGAACTCTCCTGAACAGAAAGGCGATTGATAAGGTTTCCATGCGTTTTGTACTGAAGACGGCAGACAAATGGTCCGTCCCTCGTGCTTCCTTCGAAGGGCGTACTTCATAGGGCTAAGTTCTTAAAGTCATGGGCGTTTCATCTTATCTGAATCTTCATGTCAAGAAGTCTTTCAATTAATTCGCGGCTTTGTATACTTACAAGACATCCGAAACAGAAGGCATGCATTTCATTCCGAAGCATACGAGATCTATCGGAGTTGCATTCTGTCGAAAATTAAATTCTGCCCCTCAGACGTCCGCCGCTTGAATTCGGATATGCAGCCACCCCCCATTGCACCTATAAAGGTGGCCTTCTGAGACATCTGCTGTTCCTGCGGAGTTAGTTATGTAGGACAAGCGACTAGGTGGTTCCCCATAGCCACCCACACAGTCCAGCACTATTGCATCTAACTCATCCTGAACGCCGTCCATCCCCCTTGACCAAAACACGCAGGGTTTAAACAACTCTGAGACTCTTACACAATCACTGACGGACAGTTAGTTGTCTACTGAGAGTGTCAAGTCGGCCGTATTCGGTTGACTCAATATCACATGCAGACACTGGCGGAATACCATAATTAGGCAGAATGAGAAGTAGGAGGAAACCGGAATAGCAGAAACGAGGGGACACTTGAAAGCGATCACCGAAAGCGTAGTCTGTTGTCCCAGTCACACTCCACATAATCTCAGAGGTGGTCTATCAGTGGCATTCGGATTCCAGGGGGTACCTAGTCCCAGGACGGAAACTAGGAAGAACAAGTCCCTACGTGGAGGTTAAGCAAACTTATGACTCGAAGCACCTGAACACCACCTGGCGGTTCTCGGCTGAGCGCTAATCCCTGAGGTGCATAAACCACTCCCAAGTGGGTGACCGGTAACGCCTTTACTTGAGATTAATAACGCACTAAAATGGCATATTCTTTTTGTTGCCTTATGCAATGGACGGTGAGGCAACCGACGAACTAATGATCCGATGACCGATGCTAGTCTCCACAAATGCTGACACTGGATAAAATCCAACCGACACTCGAATGCCGACGGAAAACACGGACATTGCCAGGTGTACAAACCTGTATGACTAGAAATGCAATGAAGAAATTTTCCGATGGCCTCATTAGCGGCCTTGAAACCGCATTCGATAACCCTCGGCAACTGGATTTTGTCCAATGAGCGACATTGTCAGGCGATCTTGCTTTCTCAAGTAGGTGATACCCCGGAAAGAAAATAGCATAATAAGGTGACGATGTGGTTAAAAGCCGGATGAGAAAAGTCGAGAGGCGATACGCGGTTTTTGGGGAGGGGGGAGAAGGATATTCTTTAACAAACTGACAATTGTAACATCATGGTGTGGCCTCCTCCTCCCCCCCCCCCACCTAGAATAAATTAATATGCTCCCAATATCGTAGAATGTGGTGGGAAAGGGAACTATATGAGTGAGAGCATCTAACATGGGTAAAATGCAGCCCAAGAGATGCGCGACAGTTAGACTTCTCAGAAGTGACGTCCACTTGACTAAACGCAGCAATCCCTGGCGAAACTGCGGGGGAAGCAAGGTTTTGTGAGGCTGCAGGTGACAGCGCACAGGAAAACAGCGGATTAACTCACGCGTCATTGGACCCGCATCCGCTAAGGGCAAGTGTTGGGTTGGGGTTAAGACGACCGCTCGAGTCCCGTACCTACAACACAAGCCAATAACCCTGCAAATGACTTCCAAGGGCAGGCTTATTATTCTGGGTTATCGTAGCCCCTGCAACGGGCCACGCGGGATTTGCGCGAGACAAGCACTGCAACCGGATCAGGATACTGCAAGCGCTATTGAGCTACACATCCAATAACAAGTCGCATACATTGGGACCACCCAGGACCGATACCACCTCCAGTCTTTTTGACTCTGTCTCGACACCAAGTCTAAGGTGGGGGGAGGTAGAGGCTGCGCAAGACCACTATCACTATAAACTAATCTACGAGCGCAAATGACCGTACCTGCGCCCACCAAGCCATGGGGCACACGGTAGACATTGCTGGTAACCACGGTCGAACTATCGTCATGCTGCATCTAACTACCTTCGCGGATCAAGTAGCACTGAAATTGAAGTTAGCTTACTAGAGGCGACAGCAAGGTTTGCTTGCCAAATTGGCCTTCAGTCCTAGACACGCGTCATACCTACTAGCTAACCAGCCCGTCAAAAGGTCTGAAAGTGTGTGTTATGTCAGTATCAACAAACCATGGCCCTCGCAGCCTGGTTTGCGCTGGCAGATGCCTGACACCTGATTCCCTGCCGGTAATTGCGCTTGCGCTCCCGCTGGGTATACGGGTGGCAGGCACGGCTGCCCAGTCATCATCCTCGTCCTTCTGACTCCTATTGGGGTGTTGTTGTTGGTCAAAAACCTGGTCATTTGCTGTGTGGACCAGGGGGTGTGGAGCGGAACGCCAAGGTGCGGACTCGACCGCGCCATCCACCTGCACCCTCCCCGCCTCCAGTTTTCATGACAGTCTTGACACCGGGTACGGATACTGCGCAAGTCCACATTTACTATAAACTAATTCACGGGCAAGCCACCGTCCCTGCCTCGCCTTGTTGTGGAGCACACGGTGGACATCGTCGGAATCGACGGCCGAACCCAGCACAACCTAGCACTGTTTATTCAAGAGTCAGGTTTTTCCTTCCTTCAAGCTCGAAGTGTGCAGGCTACAATCTGGGTGACAGATTAGGCTGACAGCGATAGCAGCAGAGAAGAGAGTGAGTACACATGCAAGAAGGCGGAAATTTGCACTTTTTTATTGTCATCAGAGGAGTGCCACGAAAGGCTGATTTAGATGCGCCTGTTGCGGGACAAAAAGCAGGTCTCCAACTGAAGGCATTGTCTAGAATCCGGGGAGGAGAGCGTACATATGTGGGCCAGGGGTAAGCGGCTGGACAGTCAACTTGTCAGATGACGCAGAACCGGATGATCCTTCGGCGCGTCCGTAAAAATGGTGCCTACAAAGAAGTTCTTGCCGTCGCTTACGAGGGGGTAGCGCAGGACCTGGCAACACCCCACCGCGTCAATGGAAAAGGAGAAGTTGGAGAGAGTACGATCTGTTCTGCTTTCTTCTGCCACATTGACATTGCTGTGAAAACCGACAAACTGAAAGGAAAAAATAAGGTAATTCGTCAATAATAGCACTCCCAACGACGGTGGCACACGTGTATCAGAATAAGCGGCTTATCGTTATTAATATTATTACTATTATTCACCATAGACTGAATGTTTGTTTATGCAACTACTCTTGGCATGTCTACTGAGCTCCTTTCATGCATTTCGGAAGTGCGTCAAGTCTAGAGGTCGAGTAAAATGCAGAGCTCAACCAAGTCGATGTAACATTCGGCCGAATCTGTGACGATACCGAGGATCATGGGGAATAAATTGACGACATGCGACGAGTATGCACTGCTGATGAGTTCCAATATGAGTGAGACACGTTTCTGGGGTACATAGTGGACGCCGTCGGTTGCGACGGCCGAGCTGTCATGAGTTCAGCAGATAAACACAGTCTGGGAGTATCTGATTGGTGATGTTGGCTGTCCACCCTTCAAATCCAGCTCTCCAATAGTCGCTCCAACATCCGGTTATACTGCTGATGGGAAACAAGACCGGCAAACTGCACCTGATCGCCGACTCAGACGAACCGGCCATATGCCACACGGACCTGAAGGTGAAATCGCTTGGAGAGCTACCTCATCCGAACTCAGCCCTGACTGAAAAAATGGATAACTGAGGGCATGGGTGAACGTGGTGAAGGTTGATTCCGAGAGTGACTCTAGTCCTCCGGTCTAGGATTAGCGCTGATGGCTTACCAACTGGATCCAGCTTGTTTAGTGGGGTCTTCTACCATAGAACTGCAATAGAAAGCTGCTAGTAATGGTGTGGAGGAAAGTAATAAGCTTTTAGAAGTTAACATATGTATCGAGGTGCATTGGGAACCAGTGCTTAGGATCGATAGTATGGACGAATAGGTTGAAAATTCAGACAACAACGGAAGTTCAGCAAAGTCCGCTGTAAATGAAAACGCTGAATGAGTCCATATCAGTGGCAGCAGCACACAGATCTGACCTTCGCGCGGTTCAAATCTCAGGTCAGCCGACCATGAAAAGAACAGGCGTTACTGCCTCCGTCGCTCCCATTGGCAAACCGTTCTCGCTTACTGGTTACTTGTCGATCTGCGACCGACTGTGAGCGGTCCAGCCCCGAAGCCCAGGGTAAAGCAGAATGCACTTATTCGATCTTAAGACCGGGCCAGACCGTCGAACGGCACTCCTACGTGATTTTGGCTTGGACATGAAAAATATCGTAGAGTATAACTCAGTCAAGCAACTCAAAGCACAGAGGAATGTTTGTGGAATAATTGGACATGTTATTGTGACACTTCCGGAGTACAAAGAGACTGAGATATATTTCCCGCCAAAAAGTCGGCTTGTGAGAGTTCCCACTTAATACCATCTTGATTTGCCACAGTACACACAGAAGGCAGACTTAGAAAACCGCATTTAGGTGTTTGACATAAAATGACTAATCGTTCAAAAAGACGGAGATTAGGGGCGGGCGACGTAAGTCTTCAGTTTCACGGCGTCCGCGGGGGGAGGGGCGTCGGGAAGCGGTGCTACCCAAACCAGAAAATGCACTCGATAGGCTGACGTACCGCTCATTCGGATTGTGCTAAAAGCCAGATTAGCAGTCCTTACCAGTCGTGCATGTGATCGCCTGACTGCAATTGACAGAAACTGGATCCGTAGGTTCACCTTTCAATGGTGCAACCGAAACATCCATTGTAGGTAAGGGCTGACAGACTGCTGGGCAAGGAATACTGCGGAATCGGCTTTTTCGCAGTTGTCTTCTGAATCTTCAACTCCTCACAGAGACATGAGCAGTTAATACTCAGTACTACAATCCGATGGGGTGTAGTCTCTCCCTACCGTAAGGCAGATATAGCAAGCAAGCTCATTTAATGACGATTCACGGTTGCCATATCTCAGTGCCGTCGTCGGGCTTTGGGATATTCTATAAGACAGCCGGCGCGCCAGACCTCACCTCACTGGGCTTTGGTAGGGCTGTCGTTGTTAGCCTCAGGCGACCTACTCGTCAGGTCTGAGAGAGCTCGCGGGTTTTTCGCTGAGGGCCACCTGTCACGTGCCGGGTAGGCAGCAGTTAAACAGACGGACAAACCGGTTGGATATAAGTGGGCTTTCTGGAAGAGTGTAACCTACACATCTTAAAGTCCATCACAGCCTCAAGGCTGGGTGAAATAACTAGGTCTACAGCATATGCAGTGTTCAAATATCAAATCAGAATAATAGTTGGGTTCTGGCGCAGCTCGATCTGATTGCCTACCGGGGAGGGAAAAAATTGGAGATTAAGCGGCGAACTAAGCGCCGCTTCAATGTGAGCCATAATGGGGATATAAAAACTCACCGGCTTGCCAGTGCGCGGGTCGATGAAGTCGGCCCAGTAACCCATTTCCTTCAGGGATCCACTGATGTCTATAGCTGCCTCTAAAAACTAAGTATAACCAATGAGGGGGGAACAGACAGCCGGAAACTTACCTGCTCCACAAAATTCTGTCCTTCAGGAGACCTGGAGGCCTCCGGCTGGGCTCGACGTGAAAGTGTAATGACGGCGAGATCTGTTCGTGAAAAATCTCTGCGAGGGAAGAAGAGATCAAGGTCTAAAACAGGTTGGTGCTTTAAACTCTGGAAAGTACCTTTCTTCAATATGGTCGGGCATGCATAGACCTTGACTTCGAGGAGGTCAGTTTTGAGAGACGGAATAACTGGGACAGTAGCAGGTACTTCATTCTGGAAAAAAATAACAGTTAATTGTACATCAAATTAGGAAGATTCGTGGACTGCGATGCGTGGCTGTTCGGTGGGGGTCAGACTGGCTCACGGCATGCGCTAATCTGGCAGCGCAGAGTCCGCGGCAGTCCATAACTACTGACGTGCATAGCAGGGGTGTGGTAATACGCGTACACGCAAGCCCCTAAATCACGCCAGTCAATGCGACCAATCCCAGCAGTCGACTGTTGCATGGGCGAGGGAAAAGAGAGTGAGGCCGACACTAGGAACCCATCTGCACGGCAGGTCAGCGCATAACTGTATCACGACGTGGCTTGGAAGACTACCAACTGGCGGGATAACTCGGTCAGGCTGCGATGGCTCCTTCCTAATGTGGCCTCCATGGCACTCGTACCGATGCAAGGTTCCAGCCGTCCTCGTTAGGATCTGGTACGTGTCGTGGGAGCCAGATCATGTGTGGCACGCGTAGACGGGAGTTTTGGCCTGTTTAGTCCCTGCGCCCGAGGCCGCCCCCGCTCGTCTCCACATTGTCTTGCCATCGAATCAATGTGACTGAGAGGAAAAAGTGGGGTAGATGGCGCGTAAGTCTGTCTCAATAAACTAATTTGCGCACAAATCACCGTCCTGAGCCCACACCGTGGGGAATACGGTGGAGGTCGTCGTTTGGGACGATAAAACTGTCGTCTGACGCAGCACATTTAACAGGTTACGCCTCCAAGAAGTGGGCAAAACGTGATCTCTTGGACCGATGGGTTTTAGACGTCAACAACAATGATTGCTGAACAAAGAAGGGACAAGACACACTCACCGGAGCGGTCGTTGCAAGGACGTAGTACTGGAGTCACCTTCGTGATTACAAAATGACGCCCGTAATAAGCTGTTCGGGCCTCTCCCCCAGTATGCATGTGGTAAAAAGGCCGAATCGTGGCAATGAGACAATGCGAGAAACGACTCGCCAAGCTCGTTGGCGGATACAATCCGAGAATGGTGAGCCGGTGAGTTGGAAACGACCAGTCCTAGATCCGTACGGACCGCATCTGTACCGGAGGCGGACAAGTTTCTTTTTCTCGGAGATTTCAATGCCCCAGTTAGCACGGATCGCGTCAATCGGAAAGGAGCGTTCGGTCGTCACGGAGAAGGTTACTGCAGCAGCAGCTAAAATGTATTTAAGATTCACGCAGAGCGCAATCTTCTCTCAGCAAACACCGCTTTCCGCCTCTCTAGCCACAAGACAACATGGACGCAATAATAATGACATCACCAGTAACAAGTAGACTACACAGTCGTGCGGAGATCGCTGAGTCGAACTGGCAACGAGGACGAATGCGCTATTGAAAGCTGGACGGGTCGCTGTAGAATATTACTAAGGAACGCACTCAGGAAAACGTCCTTAGACAAGTTTTATGTAGCTCTTTCGAAGGCCATCATCAGGTAGTAATCACCCTTTATACAGGGACCCAAACTTGACGAAGAGGTTGAAGACACCGGGGTAAACTACAGTGCGCTGCAAGGCATGGAAATGCAACTATAAAGGACCTTAAACCAAAGGCCCAATCGTCATCAGGACTGATTCGGCCGAAAGGACGAGATTCAAGAACGATTGTCGGTTCGATGACAAGTACTATCAACCGGTTAAGGGCATCCTAATGGGCTCGCCAGTATCGGGGTTACTTGCAGGGGCTAGTCCCATCAGAAGAGGATGTTGTGCAAACTTTCAAACCAGCATAAAGACCTGCGAAGTTGAGTAACTACACCGAAGTTTTAATGGCGTCTTCACAGCTTTACAGCTTACTAGCGAAGAAGTGACAGGAAATACCCTCCCGCTTTCAGACGTAAGTATACAAAGACTCAGTGATGGCTAACTCGCGATAAGCGTCCACCAAAAAGACTTCAGTGGAAGCAATTACCCCACGGCCCCTAAAAGGAGCTATGTCCGAACTCTTTTCCATCGCGCATTTTGTCGCTGAAGCAGCGATGACTTAAGTAAGAAAGAACTGGCCTACTTATATTGGCTATTCCGGCCCAACAGATATCTGATCAGCTTGGCAAAAGGTTGTCTCAGACATCAGCGACGACCAAAAAGCTTCGATTCTAATGGAAATAAAGTGTCGCGGAAATTCTGTTTCCTGACTTACACTCAAGAAATTTCTGAAGCGATCTCCCGACAATAAGGGAGCTTTGACATCATCGCTTACAGGCCCGCTTCCTCCCTACGCGCAACGTTATGCCGAGTAAAAGACCTCATACACAAAGAGCAACTAACCAGTGCCATTTACCACATCCCATGCGCTAACTGCTCTTGTATTTACACTTGTAATACAGGCCAACGCCTTGGGACTCGCACTGACGAGCACACGTGAACCATCAACCGACGTGACCCCTTGTCACTCGTGTCTGCGTATGCCCTTGAATGTGACCACTACCTCAACTGGGACGGTATTGAAGTGATCGTAATGGCTAACACCTAACAGGCGCATGAATTTGTCGAAGCTTGACATTTTAAGACGACTACCATCAAACGCCACTCCGATATAGACGCTCATTATGAAGGCTTGCGATCACGGCTCACTGAACTCTGCCCCCGTCCCGCATCAGCGACCGCTAATTCAACTACCCACCGCCTCTAACTTACCATCCCCCCTCTCCTCTCCCCCCTCCCCTCGCCGCGACCTTTGCCTACCGCGCCCCTCTAACACGCTAATAGTCTGCCTGTCAATGTCTGTCCTGTTGCATTGACTGGTCTAGTGTGGTAGTGTCACTTTCTCCTTTGTCTTTATTTTATCTGACGACAGGTTGGTGACATCAACTTGGAAAGTCATGTGTACAACTCGACTTTCCGAAGAACCTCCTATTTTGTAAACACCCCTATATATATATATATAATGTGAATTGACCAGGGGTCACATAGGCGGGATATGTGGAGAATGTAGTGCCAGCAAATTAGCAAGCCCTGATTTGCGAAGATGTGTCACGACAATGACAAGGATTGAGTCGCATACCAGAAAGAACATTTAAGTTATGCCTGCACGATTGCTTTGAAAAGGCCAAAAAGAAAACGTACGCACCTCAAGTACGCTCTGGACTTCAGATAGAATAGATGCGTATCGTTCGCATGCTGGTTTTGGAATGATCACAGCTGCGGGAGTAAGTGGCACTTTAAACACCTTTGAGGCAAAATAAAGGGCTACGGCCCCGGGAAGAGGAAATTTTGGGTTAACTGAATCGATGGGGCCGAGTATCTTATTGGGCCAGTTGCCTGAATGAGAGCGAGCTCTCGAAACAATTACTAGCAGGTAATGAAAAAAAATCGTTCTACCGAACGAATCGGCCAATTCTGGCTGAGTTGTTGAGTGCTGGCATGCCCGCACCTTGAAGGACTTGCAGATCGGTGCGGTGAAGGAGAAAACTACCCTAGTTCGGACTTTCATTCAGAATGGAGACGCCGAACAGCCAAACAACCAAGATCTAATAATTGGACACGTTCGTACCATCTTACTGACTTTAGGTAACAAACTAATTGGATCTCAATTTAAACCCAAAGATGTCTCGTTTGCCAAGCAATCTTGCTCGTTTCTACAGGAATATGTTAAAATAAGAAACTTAAGCCAAGTATCATGAGTTCTCACGAATACAGGCAAAAGTTTGAGAAAACTTTGGATTGGATGGGCCCAGCACGAGTATTAAGGCAATTATCGAATATGAAGACAACCATTCACTAACTTCCGTGCCACCGACTTCCTACAAGTCAGTCAAAACTGGCGTCGATCATCAAAACCGCGATAGAAAATATGTTCTGAAATCGCAATCTAATATCACCGTGGCGGGCTTTTGAAATTGAGCCGCCATTTTTTGTTTTTTTCCCTGCAGTCACATGAATATTTGTTAATTGCATACCCCAGTCTTATTCCTTTGTTTTCGTTGATATATTCTTATGGGGTTGTCTTTACAGTACGCTTGCACCTTTTTAAAGGAGCTTAAACTTTGCGAAATTTCTGCATCGATTTTTCCGCCTCCTGATCATGACTCCAGTGGTTGCACTTTGCGGCCAATTTGTCGTCTCTGCGATTGTCCTGCGTTGGCGTTCTCACGCTCCCAAACGCAACGAACTCACCGTGCCAGCAGCAGTTACACTCTGACAACTTGTTCTGTTTCTCGTCCTTCCTCGCTGGCCTTCCTACGCTCGTATCAGCAAAGGCCAATTTTTCGAAAGCAACATCGCTGTGGATGGCAAGTTGCGCTTAAACGCCAGCCTAAAAACAAGTTGTCAATCCCGGGTTTTCTTTCGACTAACTGTCGATCGATATTTAACAAAGCCCATGATTTGGAGTTACTTCTGTCAACCAAAGAACATGGCAAAACAGGAGTAATTTGCCTTCAGGAGACGTGGTTGAATAGTCATATTGACTCGGAACTTATCACTCCTTTGACATTTTGTTGTTTTCGAAATGATAGAGCATCTCCAGCAGGTAGTAGAGGTGGAGGAGTGGCCATTTTTGTCAATCAAGACTGGTGTATAAATTGTAAGCCCCTGTTTTCATATTCTGGTGATTTAATTGATGTAATTGCTGTTATCTGTAAGCCCCATTTGTTAAGTAGCTTTAAGGGTATTATATTTGTCAGTATTTTCATCCCCCCTTCCACAAACGAACGCTCTCTGGGCCGTTTTTTGACTTCCTCACACAAAAACTTGCATCATTATCTTCAGACCATCTTATTCTTTTGTGCGGTGATTTTAACCGTGTGAGTTTTCGGCCAATTACCCTTCTGGGTTTTGATGACCTTGTTTCATTCAATACACGAGCTGATGCCCCTCTTGATCACATCTTGACCAATTACCCAAAGCTTTTTTGTATTAAAAATAGAGCTCCACTCTCCGGGTCTGATCACTCAGTGCTACTAGGACTTCCAAAAGTTTATTCCACCTCTAAGCGTCAACTGCTTACAAAACCCGAGAGGAAAATTACTGTTCGAGACACATCCGTAGATAAGATCCACTTACTGCAGAGTTCAATTACTAGTACCATCCCAACTTTTCTAGCACTACAAAAGGCTGAATTATGCTCTAATTATCTTACGCCTGAAACTGTTATGGTCAGGCCTGACAGAATCTCCTCACCATACCTCAAACACTTGAGACGTCGCAAAGAAACCTTCTACAAACTAGGTCAGCGTGACAAGGTGAAGGATATCAATGTTTTAATAAAGAACGAAATTGCCAGACATAACGGTTTATTCGTTAGTCAACTTTTTTCTACTTCATCCACCCCCTCCTCTCCTTTTCCTTCTGCTGAACTGTGGAGGAATCTCAAGCGTCTCACTGGTCAATGTAATATACTTGAACCCATTGACGTAGATTTAAACTCTTTAAATCGGAATTTTATCTGTACTTCTAACGACTCCACTTCTCGCCCAAACGAAATTTACCTACCACCATGTGACTTTACTCCTGTGACTGTGACAACAGTGGAACAACATCTCAAAATGATTCGCGGGTCAACGGCGGCTGGGCCGGACGGTGTCTCTCCTTTTCTCCTTAAGTCTTGCTGTTCGCAGATAGCTCCCGTCTTGACCCACCTTATTAATCTATCCTTCATAGAGTCCAAGATTCCTGACGCCTGGCGTACAGTAAGAATTACTCCAATCCCTAAAAAATCTTTAACTTTTGCTCCTAAATCTTTCCGTCCTATTGCCTGCTCTTCTGTACTCCTGAAACTTACTGAACGAGTTGCATTAGATTCCCTTAAGTACTCCTCCGTCAATTTTTCTGATCCTCTACAATTTGCATACAAGGCAAAGCGAAGCACCTTGGATGCTGTTGCTTTAGTTGTTCATTCAGCTTTGAGAGACTTAGACAAGGGATGCCGTGCATATGCATGTGCTTTTCTCGACTACTCATCTGCCTTCAACACTATTCCGCGCCAATTCCTCCTGACCAAAGCAGCTGCGTGCGACACTCCGAGCTGGGTTGTCTCCTGGCTTAGAGATTATTTTTCCTCCCGCACTCAGTTTGTCCAGTCGGGAAAGAGAAAATCTTCTATTCTTCCAAACAATTGTGGAGTTCTACAAGGTTCCATCTTTTCCCCTCATCTTTTCTCCCTACATACTGGTGATTTGAGATCGCCAAACGACTGCCTGTATGTTAAGTATGCCGATGACATGGTCGTAGGCCACCCACTCAAAAACCTGACTCATTTGCAGTCTTTAAAGGATGGCTAAGATAACGTCTCCGCATGGTCTTCGAATAATGGACTCCTACTCAACAGTCAGAAATCAGTACAGTGTGTGTTTCGATTGCGACCCTCTCCCATTCCTGAACCTTTGGATATTCATCCCAATGAGGTATCTTCTTTCCGGTACCTAGGTGTTACTTTATCCTCAAATCTCTCTTTCTCTCTTCATATGGAAACCCTTTTAACAAAAATTCAAAAACTTGTTTATTACATTCGTCGTCTACGTTCATATCACACACCCCAGTCCTTAATCTGGTGATTCATAGATGGCTGTATTCTTCCACTCATTATTTATTGTTCTCCAGTTATTTTTCCAGCCTTACTTAAAAAAGATCTAATTATTTTTAAACGTGTCATTCGAATGCTCGCCTTTGCTGCTGGTGTTTCCTATCATATTTTAGTTGATATCATCGTGCAGCGACACTTCAACTCGGTGGAGCAATTCGCTGACCGAATTCTGAATGACACCGTCCATCCCCTTCATAATGAGTTAATGGCTGCGAAATCCTTACGCCCCATGCGTCGATGCTTCCGCCACATCCGTTGCCGCACTTCGGCCTATCGGAATTCCATACTGCCATTTCTAGCCCGGTATCTCACCTGCAAAGATGATGAAAAACAAAAACTAAAACTCGATCTTGCACCTTAAAGTCCTTTTTTCTTCATATATAATTATGTCCACTTGTCCAATACCTGTAAATCTCTATGGTAATCACTGTGTAATGGAGAACCGTTTTTGCTGAAAGTTTTGAAAGTTATTTTCAAAATAAAACATTCCTTTCTCTCTCTCATCCTTAAAGCCCCACGTCCCCAAGACAGCGATACACCAACAAGAAATACGAACGATTTCGCCGGAGAGCGATGTCTCGTTATTCAGGGGTTCCCTGAATCAAATGCCAACACTTCTAAAGAGCGGGTTTCGTAAGATCTAAGGCTTTCCCAAGGCCTTCTCAATTATATCTTGCAACCCACTGAGGCAATTGAAGTACACAAAGCCTTCCGTCTTGGAGAGCTAGAAGGCAATCAGCTAGAACCAGCACGCCCCCAACCTCTTAAAGTTGTGCTGGCCTGTAAGGAACAAACTGAGTTGATTCCCTCTCAGCATCTTAAAATAAAATGCACCAACCCCGGCGTTTTTATTTAAATCGGATTACTCTCAAGCAGAGAGGCTGAGACGTCGTCTTCTACTAGATCTAATAAAGAGACTCAGCGAATGAGAACAGAATTTTGCTATTGACAACAAACAAATCAGACAGCGCCCACCATTCTTTCTTTGGACGGTCCCAATCCGGATGATCGCGCAGCTGAAATAGTAGACGAAAATCCTAGACTCATCGAGGCTACGTCTCCGACGACCATAGATCACAAGCTGAAACTCCCATATACAAATGTGCAGAGCACGTTATCGAAAGTTGACGTGCTAAAGATCCATCTATCTGACCTATCTCCGGATATAATCTCACTTACAGAAAGGTGGTTGAATCAGCAAGTGGACAACCGTGAGTTAACTATACCTGGATAGCAGCTGTTTAGAAGGAACCGGCCAGGAGGTCAGGGCGGAGGCCTACTCACTATGCAAAATGCGGACTTATAGTCTAAGACAAAACAAATAAACTTTCGTGTACTTCCGAGTCAATTTGGTTAATTATAAAAGCCCTGGGTTCACCAAGCCTCGACGTTCTGACAGTCTACCAACCGCCGAGAAATGATCCCACGGCGGACGTCCGTCTGATCAAGGGCCTGGTGAGATTCTTTATCCAATCAGAAGTCTTAATCGTGGGAGACTTCGATGCACCTCCTATTGACTGGAGTTCTGCTTGCGCATCTGGTCCAGACCATACTTTCGACCGACGTTTGCTGGACATGACGCTCAGGTTATTTCTTATTAGTATTATTATTATTATTATTATTATTATTATTATTACTATTATTTTTATGAAAGACCTGTCGAGGTTTCATCAAAGCAAGTAAAAGTAAATTTAGATGCGAATTTTAGACGAGGTAGGCAAAATCTGTACAAAGTGCAATACATAGTTTTTAAATTAGAAGTCCGTTAAGAAAAATGATAAGCGAGGAGTGGAAAAAACTCCACATGAAAATTTAAAAATGACTGGATTAATTTTACAGGAGAAAAAACCCCTCGGAAAAAATAGAAATGAAAAATGCGGGCAGAACTGGCCTGCATGTGGTGGTATAGAATGGATTATAATCGGACATCGTCAGGGTCGAAATAAATGTCAGCTGTGTATGGCATTGTATAACGGATTTCATGAAGGGGTAAGTAGGCGGGTCGGTCAGGACTGGCCTGCATGTGGCCTTGAATAAGGCAAATAAGTGGCGAAATTGAAAACCAGTCTCGAGTCGATAGGAACCCAGATGCGGTCGGTTACATTCATCCGAGTCCATCCGAGGCTGGGGCAGGGAGACGTGGCCAGACTACTAGTATATGGCGAATACAAAAGGCTTCGCCAAGAGCGTCGATGGAGCGCATTCTGTGAGGGCACGATGCATAAACTGAAAAATTGGAAAAATTAACATTTCTGGTGAGGGATCTTAGGAATCGAGACTACACATAAGAGACTACTCACTCCGAGAGATCGATCTTATGCCACGCGCAACTCCTGCATGGTGAATCCGCCGCCTCTTTGTACTACATCTAAGCGCTCCCTCTTCTTTGCTTCCAAATATGCCTTCCTTTGGAATAATCTTCCGCCTGAAATTAGATGATCGCCTAGGTTACTGATATTCAAGTCGAAATTACGCAACCATCTTACACCGGAAAGCATAAAGGCACTGTTAACGGTCTCATTCCCGAACACTCAGATTCTTGACTTCGAGAAGGGTCCTCCTGGGATTTAGTGGTAGATTAAGTGGTAACTCTTAATTATATCATTAGAAACCCCTGTTTTTAATTGGTTTCTAAATCCATCGCTATCCTTCCCCCCATAGCGACAATTTTCGCGGTTTTTGATGTCATCTCCCGCATTCCGACCTCATGCGGTCTGTCGACGCTCACGGCGGAACCCTCAGTATTCACTGTCTACTAGTAGTTCGGTCGTACCTCCCTTCCTCACTGCTCGGCTGAGCTCGAAGCGTGCTGTGGCCGATCGCATCTCGGTTCCTCTCGTCTGGCTTCTTTGACGCGGCGTACCAATCCGGCCCAGACGATCTCAATTGTGAATCTCGTATACAATGCCATTTGCAAGCCAGTCCTGTCTGACCCACATTCGTACCCATCAAGGCGGACATTTATTGATACCCTGACGATGACCGACAACATTCCGTTATGTACCGCCACCTACAGGCCAGTCCTGCTCGCTTTTTTCTGTTATTATTTTTAAAGAGGGGTTTTTTCTCCTGTAAAATTAATCCAATCATTTTTAACTTTTTCCAAGGAGTTTTTTTCACCCCTCAATCATCATGTTTCTCAATGGACTTCTAATTCAGAAACTATGAATTGCATTTTGTAAAGATTCAGCCTACCTCGTCTAAAACTCGCATGCAAATTTATTTTAACTTGCTTTGATGGGACCCCGACGGGTCTTTAATAAAAATTATCCATCTATCTATCTATCTAAAATGTGAACAGATAAGGAAATTTAATGGCGGCATACTAAATTCCCGGTGGCCCTTTCTCAGTGTCATAGAAAAATTTGTCTGGGAAGGATGGGGAAAATAAAAGTTTAATCAAGTCAGTATTCAGCTAAAGGCGTAGCCTTCCCTTAAATGTGTGTAGATTTTCTGAAGATCTTATATTTATTGGAAAGTTATTCCAGAGGAAAATATAGCTGGACGCGAAAAAAGGGAGCGCTTAGTGCTGGAGGACGCTGGAGGAGGTATAATCAAGGACGAGTTGCGATGATTGTATGGGCGACTTCTAGGGGTTGAGTGCTGAAATCCGTGGAAAATTTGAACTATGATTAATGCGAAAGATGAGACAGAAGCCCGCTTCTATTCTTCTTGTTTCACTCAGCACGTCTCATTTCCAACAAGGGTTCGCAAAGTTCAACAGTCAAACTGTCTGGATCTGACCCCTACGAAATCGCTGGACATCACTGATGAGATGCAATGTCTACCTCCCCTAGGTCGAAGCTACCACGTCGTACTGTTGGGGGAGTACTCCATTTTTTCTCTGCCCGAACAATCCACCAGAGTTAGAAGGAACATTGGGCGCGGCGACTTTGCCCAAATAAAAGCTGAACTAAACACCATAAACTGGGAATCAGCTTTTCCCGGCGACATTATAAAGGATTGGGACTGGTTTATTGAATTATTGCACGTTCTACTCAGAGACCACTGTGCTATTTCACGGAAGAAACTGAACAGCAGAGCCCCGTGACCAACATAAGCTTTAAAAAAGAAGTGAATAAAAAGCGGAGATTATGGAAGAAACTCCTCCCGGATAAGAGCTCTGTGTCGATAAATGCATACAAGGCACAGAGGGACCTAGTTGGGAGGTTAATCCTCGGGACGCGGCGTACTTTCGAGCAAGACATACTAAATCGAGACGCAGAAAATCCGACGTTATTCTATGGTTATATAGGAAGAAGCACACGAGACTGAGACCCAATCCCATTATTAAAAACTTTTGACGACCTTAAATTCAATGAAGACGAAGAAAAGGCAGAGCACTCTTCATAATTTTTCAAGTCCATCTTTACGGAGGAAAGCGCATTTATTCCTCCCGACCGCGACATAGTGGACGGGCTAACGAGTAAAATGTTCTCTTTGACCGAGGCTATAAATCGCAAAGACCCGTTGACGCTGAATGAGTCTAAATCACCTCGGGCGGATGATATGCCGCCTAAATTGTTGAAGGACCTTGCTGGAGAACTATCTAAACCGCTATCCATGCTCTCCCAAGCATCGTTCGAAGCAGGCTATTTGCCCGCCGATTGGAAATATGCACGGATCGCGCTGCTTCAAAAAGACGGCAGCAACGCTCTTCTTCTCTTGAAACTGTCCTCTTTCGGAATAGGTGGCAAACTTTGAATTTTATATCGTCTTACCTGGGCACTCGTACACAACGAGTTAGGATTTCCAATACTATCTCCAACCCCACACGTGTGAGGAGTGGAGTCATTCAGGGAAGTGTACTCGGCCCGCTTTTATTTTGCCTTTTCGTTAATGATGTACCCAATTTATTTCAGAATGGTAAGCATTTCATGTATGCCGATGATCTTAAAGTTGCATATCGATATAAGCCGGCAGATCATGACATCGTGCTTGAGCTCCTAAAGAGCGATCTACAGGCTTTCGCCCAGTGGTGCCGCACATGGCGCCTTTCTCTTTCCTGGCATAAGTGCTCAGTCATGGTGGTTGGCGACGACCGCCAACCTTAACTAAGGATTGAAGGTCACGCCATAAAGGTGCCTGGGGTTATGAAGGATCTGGGCGTATCATACTCCAGGAGTCTCAATCTCTTGGAGCACTGTGCCTTGATAGTCTCCAAAGCACGTAGGACGACCGGGTTTATCTTCCGAAACTTCAAAACTAGGGACATTAGAATGCTCCATTACAACAAGTACGTTAGACCTGGTCTGGAATGCTGTTCGTTTTTATTTAGCCTCATGCGTGCTACTGAACGGAAGAAAATAGAATCCGTTTAACGCTTTTTTACCAAGAGAATTTTAATCCCGAAACACTGACATTCGTCTTACCAAGAACATTGCCGGCTTACAGGCCTTGATCCTTTATGGTTCCGTAGATTAAAAAAGGGACTATTTTTGCTATTTAAACTCTTATAAAATCACACATTTAACCCACTCAACTCCTTAAGACATCATATCCACCCCCGACGTAACAGTCACCCTGAGGTCTTTTCATTTCTTCCTCTGGCCCGTACTGTTAAATATCGTCGGTTATTTTCTGTAAATACAATTGCTATTTGGAATAAACTACCCATGAAGGTGAAAAATCAGTAAAAGTATAATTTATTTAAGAGAACTATTGCTCGATTTTCGCATTCAGAAAAGCTCCCACACATTTTGGGTGCTGAATCCTCTGATCGACTGTACCGTAGCGATGGCGCTTATGGTCTCTAACCACAATGGTCGGTCTCACCAGGGACAATTTCTTTGGCCAGCAGCGACAGCTGTTCTTCGGTGCTTCTGGTTGAACTAACCCTAACTTCATGAAAGTGTTGGGAGCGCCTTCACTCCCAAGAACAAGAGCTAGCCAATCACGGGAGGCCACGTGCGTTTTCTCTACTGCGCTGTCATCTTACTCGTGGCGCCTCTCCATTGGCTTTTCCTCTCGGGCCTGATCGATCGGCATATTCGAATTATCGACCGGCTCGTCTCGAATGTTCTTCCCCAAGGGCATTGGGCCGAACGCCGGCGAAGCGCCGTAAGGCGTTATAAATACGCGTTACTTCCAGTTCATTTTGACTTGCATTTTCCTAATACACAGTTTCGTGGCCGGTCGCGTTCTCCTTCTCTGCCGCGTTGGTATTGGGGACAAGGGTCGAGTGCGCATACGCTCCACAGGATTTCACGTACCAGGCGGGTCATAACAAATTGGCGACGCAGTTTTTCGACTACAATGGCTGACGAGTACGCAGACTTGAAGCAGATGTTGCAGCAGCAGCTGAAGCTGATGGAGGCTCTGACCGTCAAGCTATCCAATTCATTCATGGGCCAATCAAGCGCGGCTGGTGGTTCACAATCTGTTGATCACATTGCCGGCAGCATCATTGAATTCCTGTATGACCCGCAGGCCCATATCACCTTTGAGTCCTGGTACAAACGATACGAGGACTTGTTTTCTGTCGATCTGGCTGCCAAGGACGATGCATGGAACGTTCGACTCCTACTTCGCAAACTGG